TTTTTTAAGATGGATCTTGCTCTGTTGCCCAGGCTGGAGTGCAGTGATGTGATCTTGGCTCACTGCAACCTACACCTCCCAGGTCCAAGTGATTCTCCTGCCTCAGCCTGCCAACTAGCTGGGACTACAGGCGCATGCCACCATGCCTGGCTAATTTTTGTATTTTTAGTAGAGACAGGATTTCTTCATGTTGGCCAGGCTGGTCTTGAACTCCTGACCTCAAGTAATCTGCTCGCCTCAGCCTCCAAAGTGCTGGGATTACAGGCGTGAGCCACCACTCCCGGCCTAGTTATATATATTTTTTTCTAGCACTACTTAAAGTAAATTCAAAGTATTCAAACAAAGAAGTTGGATCCCAGAACGCCTCCAAACCTAGGGTATATCCCCAGCAGCACGCATGTTGTACTTAGTTAAACATTGATCTCATCCTGTCCTTGCTCCCTGCATCCCATTGTAAACTCAGGTCCAGAGAGGAACAAGGATAGAACTGAAGTCACAGAGAGAGTTGGCCACAGGGTGGGTGCTAGAGTCTAGACCCCTCCACTGTTCCCACCATTCCAAGGCAGGAGCCCTTGCTGAAAGAAGGAGCCAGGGCTTTTCCTGCTTCCAGATATTTGCATGTCCTGTGTCCCCACCTGGAAAGCCCTTTCCCCTCAATTGTCCCAGGCCAACTCCCATTCATCCTTCAAAACTCAGTGTAAACAGTCACTTTCTCTGGGGAGCATCCCTGGCAGGCAGAGCAAGTCTGTCTCCCTCATGTGACACCCCATCCCAGATTATAATGACCTGTTTGGGAATCTTTCTCCACGCTGAGACAGGGAGGCCCAGGTCTGGTTCATCTCCGCCCTGAATGTGCTCCCTGGGGCTGGACACCCAGGAGGCTCCGGGCAGCACTGATTAATTAGGGAAATCTGAAAACAGTGGAGCCTAGAGCCCTGGATCAGTCCTGTCTGGGTCCCAAGAGGGACAGGGCCACCAGGCTGGCAGCTTGTCCTGAGTGATGAACTAGTTCAGTCAGGGCCCCCATCACTCCACTAGATACATTTCAGCTGTGGAGAAAGAAGTTCAGGGGCTCACCTGGGTCTGTTGCTTAGCAACAGGAGGCTGTAAATGACATCGCTCCTGACACTTTAACTAACCCCTCCATGGCAGGCAGAGGATAATGAAGGCAAAGGCAGTGAGACGGAATTGAAAGCCAGACTCAGGAGTGAGGCAGGTTCTGGGAAATATGGAAGCCTGCAGCAGGCAGCTGTGGGCCTGGGAATATGGGAGGGGTCTCTGAGACAGTTGGTGGCTGCTTTATTCCTGGGAGTTCTGTTCAGGAGTCCTGGGCTTACGTTTGCCAGCCTTTAAAGGGGATTTGCTAGGCTTGGTCCCTAATAACAGGTTAATAATTCCAGGTCAGGAGATCGAGACCATCCTGGCTAACACGGTGAAACCCCGTCTCTACTAAAAATGCAAAAAACCAGCCGGGCGAGGTGGCGGGCGCCTGTAGTCCCAGCTACTGGGGAGGCTGAGGCAGGAGAATGGCGCAAACCCGGGAGGCGGAGCTTGCAGTGAGCTGAGATCCGGCCACTGCACTCCAGCCAGCCAGGGCTACAGAGCAAGCCTCCGTCTCAAAAAAAAAAAAAAAAAAAAAAATAATAATAATAATAATAATTCCAGGGGCACTATGCCTGTAATTCCAGCAGTTGCCACTAGGAGGACAGCAGCAACTTCGAAGGTAGACGACTCAGGGTAGACTTAACTATAAATCTATCAAATCTATGAGTTGGCAGGGAACCTAGTTTAGGAGGGAGCATTTATTAAGCACCTCCCTACTTTTGTTAACTCACAAGATCCTCATAATAACTCCGTGATTGGAGAGGTATTTCTACGTTAAAGATGAAGAAACTGAAAGCTATTCATTCAACAAGTATTTGTTGAGCTCCTCTTATAAGGCAGGTACTGTTGTAGGGTCTGATAGACAGCAGTGAGCAAGACAGATGGAAATCCCTGCCCTCATGGCATTCTAATCAAGGGATAGATAATAAAGAAGAGAAATAAGTAAAATATATGGTATGTTAGAAAATGACAAGGGCTATGGAGAAAAATAAAGCAGAAAAAAAGATTGAAAGGGACCCAGGGGGAGTAGATACATGGAGTAGTCAGAAAAGGCCTTAGGGAGGGGCATTTGAGCAAAGACCAGCAAGAAGTGAGGAGGAAGTCATGTGACTATTCAGGAGTTGTGCATACCAGACAAAGGTCCTACGGTAGGTGTAAGCTTGGTGTATTTCAGGTTTGGAAGGAGGCCAGCACAGCTGCTGCTGTGTTAGAAAGGAGGAAAGCAGAAAGACATGAAGTAGGCCATTGTAAAAACTCTGGGTATTTCTCTGAATGAGATGGGAGCCACAGGAGTATGAGTGTTGAATCTGCCAAATAAAAATACAGGATGATGGTTAGGCGAGGTGGCTAATACCTGTAATCCCAGAATTTTGGGAGGCTGAGGTGGGCATATTGCCTGAGCCCCGGAGTCTGAGATCAGCTTTAGCAACATGGCAAAACCCCACTCCTACAAAAAATATGAATATGGTGGCATGTGCCTGTAGTCCCAGCTTCTCAGGAGGCTGTGGTGAGAGAATCACCTGAGCCCGGGAAGTTGAGGCTGCAGAGAGCCTTGATTGCACCACTGCACTCCAGCCTGGGCAATGATGTGAGACCTAACCTGAAAAAAACAAAATCCATAAAAGGATGCCCAGTTAAATTTCAACTTCAGATAAAGCACATAAAAATATTTTCATATAAGTATGTCCCCAGTGTCGCATGGGATATGCTTATAATAAAAATTATGTGCTGTTTATCTGAACTTCAAATTTAACTGGGCATCTTGTATTTTATCTGACGAACCAACATGGGAGGGTCTTGAGCAGAGGAGTGACATGGTATGACTTGCATTTCAAGTGGATCTCTCTGGCCAGTGTGTGGTACACAGTCTGAGGGATGTTATGGTGGAAGCTAGAGGCTCCGTGAAGGGGTCATTACAAATCATCCAGGTAAGAGACGATGGAGATTTGGAGCAAGGCGGTGGTAAGAAGAAGTCAGGTTCTAGACACATGTTACAGGGAGAACAAGCAGCACTTCCTGTTGGATTAAACGTGGGGTGTGAAAGAAAGAGGTGTCAAAGCTGACTCTGAGGTTTTGGGCCTGAATAGCTGGAAGGATGAAGGAGTCATTTACTGAGATAAAGAAGGGTAAAGAAGAGTAGATTAGTGGGGGAGAAAGGGGAAACTCAGGGGTTCAGGTTTGGGCATTTTAAGTTTGAAATGTTATGAGGCATTCCACAGGGAGATGTGGCATGGAATGCTCTACTGGTTAAATAGTGTCCCTCTAAAATTTGTGTTTACCCAGAACCTGTGAATGTGACCTTATTTGGAACTAAGGTTTTTGCAGATATAATGAAGTTAACATGAGGTCAGACAGGATTAGGGTGGGTCCTAATCCAATGACTGGTGTCCTTATAAGAAGAGGGAAATTTGGGCATAGAGAAATACACAGAGGGAAGATGCTGTGAAGACACTAATACCATATGAAGATGGAGGTGAAGACTGGAGGGAAACATCAAGCCTAGGGATGTCAAGGGTTGCTGGGATCTGCTAGGACAGATCTAGAGGTCTGGAGGAGGGGTTCTGGGTGGGGCTATGACTTAGGAGACATCAGGGCACAGATGATATTAATATATTTTTAAATTTTTTACTTTTCTTGAGACAGAGTTGTGCTGTGTCACACAGGCTGGAGTGCAGTGGCACAATCTTGGCTCACTGCAACCTCCTCCTCCCGGGTTCAAGCGATTCGCCTGCCTCAGCCTTCCAAGTAGCTGGGATTACAAGCACGCACCACCGTGCTCAGCTAATTTGCTGTATTTTTAGTAGAGACATGGTTTCACCATATTGGGCAGCTGGTCTTGAACTCTTGACCTCAAGTGATCCACCCACCTCGGCCTCCCAAAGTGTTGGGATTACAGGTATGAGCCACCGCACCCAGCCTGACATTAATATTTAAAGTCATAGATTGGATAAGATCACCAAAGCAGTGAAAGTAGATGAAGAGGAGAGGAGGACCAAGGACTGAGCCCTGGGGCCCCAGACTGAAGACGTGGCAAGTTAAGAGGTAGACAAGGAAGGGTACAGAGAAGCAGCTGCTGGTGAGGTAGGAGGAGCCCCAGTCTAAGGCAAGTGGAGAAAGTGTTTCCAGAAGAAGAGCATGATCCATTGTATCTATTACTGCTTTAGGGGCCAGTAAGATGAAAACAGAGGACTCACCATTGGGCGAGCAGCCTAAAGGTCATTAGTGACTTTGGCCAAGGCAGTTTTTGAGAGGTGGGGGGGGATTAAGCCTGACTGGAGTGAGCTCAAGAGAGAATGGAGGCCCTGGCAGGCAGATCACTTGAGTCCAGGAGTTTGAGACCAGCATGGATGACATGGTGAAATCTTGTCTCTACAGAAAATACAAAAATTAGCCAGGTATGGTGGTGCGTGCCTGTACTCCCAGCTACTCAGGATGCTGAGGTAGGAGGGAGCCCGGGAGTTGGAGGTTGCAGTGAGCTGAGATTGTGTCACTGCACTCCAGCCTGGACACCAGAGTGAGACCCCATCTCAAAATAATAAAAAACAGAGAGAATGGAAGATTCTTCCTCTTCTTTTTCTTCTTCCTCTTCTTTTTCTTCTTCCTCTCATCCTCTTCTCCCCTCTCCTCCCCCTTTCTCCTTTCCCTTTCTGTCCCCTCTGTTGGAGGTGCCAGCATTACCAGGGACTGAGGAGGCAGCAGGACCAAGAAGGCGGCAGCCTGACTGGAGACCATGGATGTAGGGGGCCATGGTCACAGTCATCATGATTGGGATATTGTTTGCATACAGGAGCCTGAGCAACCACTGAGGATAATGGGAGCCAGCTCCCCCTCCCCATCTAATCAGTACCCCAGTCCTGCCAATTGCCCCTCCATAATCTTGTGATCTTCACGCAGTGTGCCTCTACACACATAGTTACTGCAGTTCTATTCTTTCATTGATTTAACAAATAGTTTTGAGCCTGCTACTGGCTGCTGGATGGAGATCTTAGGATATAGCAGTGAACGACACACAGTCCCTGCCCTCATGAGACTCACATTCTAGAGGAAAAGATAGACATTAATCCAAGAATCACGCAAAGAAATGTTAGATTTCAACAATGATAGGTGCCTTACAGAAGAGGCTCCTAGGGCTTTTAGCACATAATAATGGGAGTTTGACTTGCATTGACTTGAGAAGATAACTTTTGAGTGGAGACCTAGTGGTGGAAGTGGTAGGAGGTAATTAGGCAAAGAGCCAGAGAGAGTGGTCCAGGCAGGGGACACAGGTGGCCAAGGTCTACTGGGCTTGGGGGTTGGGGGTTCACGGGACATGTGAGCAGGGCAAGGTTAGGGAGGAGGAGTGGTGAAGAAGATGAGGCCATGTGCTGGGTGTAGCGGCTCACGCCTGTACTCCCAGCTACTTGGGAGGCCGAGACAGGAGGATTGCTTGAGGCTGGGAGTTTGAGACCAGCCTGGGTGACACAAGACCCTGTCTCTACAAAAATAAATCAATACATAAGGCCAAAGGATGAGCAGAGCCCAGACCATGCAGGACCTCATAGGCCGTGATAAGGAGTTTGGTTTCTTTCTGAGAGCACTGGGAAGCCAGCATAGGGGTTTAACGAGGTGCAACATTATCTGGTTTGTAATCTTTAAACAATTTTTTAATTGACACATAGTAATTGTGCATATTTATGGGGCATTAATGATGTTTTGATACATATAATGTATGGCAGTCAGATCAGAGTAATTAGCATATCCATCATCTCAAATATTTATCATTTCTTTGTGTTGGGAACATTCAATATCCTTCTTGTAGTTATTTGAAACTAATATATTATTGTTAACTCTAGTCATCCTATACTGGTATAGAACACTAGAACTTATTCTTGGTATCTAGCTGCAATTTTGTATCCTCCAGCAAAACTCTCCCTATCCCCACCCCTTTAACCCTTCCCAGCCTCTGCTAGCGTGTGCTCTACTTTTTACTCCTATGAGATTAGCATTTTTTAGCTTCCACATATGAGTGATAACATGTGGTGTTTAATTTTCTGTTTCTGGCTTATTTCATTTAACATAATGTTTGTATTCTTAAAAGAGTCTGGCTGATGTCTGGAAAATGGATTGTAAGAGTGTGAGAGTGGAAGCGAGGAGACCAGAAAGGTAGTTTTTGTCGTGTAAGAGAGACAGGATGGTAGCTGGACTAGGGCATCGGACATGGTGGTGGAGAGGAAGCAGGAGACAGAAGTGCTGGGATGAGTGGGATGAATGGGGTCTTGACTGGTGGGGAGGGTGCGTTGAGGAGTTAGACTTTGGGCTTAGTAGCAGGGTGGGTAGTGGGGCTGATCCCCAAGAGCCCAGAAAACAGGGAGAGCAACAGGCTTTGAGGGTTGATGGGGCATTTGGTTTGAGGCTTGCTGCAAAATGTCCACACGGAACATTCGAGCAAGCTGTTGGTTGTGCAGATCACAGTTTAGACTAAGGCAGCGACATCAGCCTCAACTTACAGCAGCAAGCATTTGAACAAGCCTAATTTTTACTTGCCTCAAGGCGCACATGAGAATGAACTGCCCAGGAGAAATGACCTCAGACTGGATCAAGCAGAGAAGGTGTCATGGAGGAGGCAGGACTAGAGCTGGGTCTTGAATGATGGGAAGGATTTGAGGAAGGGAAGGGAGGGTACACCAGGCAGCATGAACAAAGGCCCTGAGGTGAGAATAAACTTGGGGCATGCTGAGGGTCACAGAAAATGCAGAACAGCCCATTTTAGATGATGGCCACCTCTATGGAGGCAGGCAAGGAGGGAAGAGGTCCAGGAAGGGAGGTCAGGAGCTCTCAGAGTTCCTCATAATGTTCTAGTGCTTAAGCTGTGTGCTGGGCAGATGAGCATTTGTTATGTGATTAACTCTATTTTCTTGTTCTTAGATAGAGTCTCTCTGTCACGCAGGCAGGCTCATTGCAACCTTTTCCTTCCAGGCTCAAGCAATCCTCCCACCTCAGCATCCTGAGTAGCTAGTACTACAGGTGCATGCCACCACGCCTGACTAATAAGATGAGGTCTCACTATGTTGCCCAGGCTGCTCTCAAACTGCTGGACTCCTGTCTCCTTCGGCCTCCCAAAGTGCTGGGATTACAGGCATGAGCCACTGTGCCTGGCCTGATTGACTTTCTATATAAATACTTTTTGTTTTGTTTTGTTTTTGAGATGGTCTGTCATCCAGGCTGGAGTGCAGTGGTGCAATCTTGGCTCGCTGCAACCTCTGCCCCCCGGGTTCAAATGATTCTCCTGCCTCAGCCTCCTGAGTAGCTGGGATTACAGGCAAGTACCACCATGCCTGGTTAATTTTTGCATTTTTAGTAGAGACGGGATTTCACCATGTTGATCAGGCTGGTCTCAAACTCCTGACCTTGTGATCTGTCCACCTTGGCCTCCCAAAGTGTTGATTACAGGTGAGAGCCACCGCACCTGGCTGGTGGACTATATTTTGTATGGTTAACATCATTTTTTATAATTCGTGGTCTAGAGGGATGAATAGAGGGGAGAGTAGAGAGGGGTCTCTTAGGCTTGAGTTTACATTGCAGCTTCCTAATGGTGTGACTGTGGGCCTATGGATAAGGGACTTCATGCATTTGAACCTCTTTTGATCTGTAAAATGGGCATGAAGAATTCTTACCTCATCATCTCTCCTTCCCTCCCTCCTTCCCTTTCTTCCTTCTTCACTCCCTCTCTTTCTCTTCCTTCTTTCTGAAAAATATTTACTAAATGTCTACAGTGTGGAAGGCCCTGCACAAGGTCCAAGAGATATGCTCCCTTATGGTACTTACAGTCTTGAGAGGGACAGACATGAATCAACCAAATACATGAATGCACCACTGCAGACAGTGATGAGAGCTATGAAGACAACAAACAAGAGCTTCCGTGGTGGAGAATAAACAGATACTGAGACAGGGTGGCCAGGGAAGGCATTTCAGAGGAGATGCGAAGCAGTCTGCCTTGGAGGGAGTGAAGACAGAGGGGAATGTGTCAGTCAGAGGGCACAGCATGAGCAAAGGTCCTGAGGAGGGACGCACAGGGGAGCTTTGAATGTTGGTGTTAGCAGTGCAGCCAGCGAGGGGTGGGCAAGGGGGAGAGAGGCATGGCAGGAGAGGCTGGGAAGACATGTGCATTCAGGAACATGGGCTTGCAGAGCACGTAGCACGGTGCTTGGTGTGTGTGCTCAGGAAATGCTGGTGGCCTTTCTTCCCACCCCTTTCTGGGGGCCATGGCTAGGGTGACAAATGGATGTCTGAGGGCAGAAAGGGGGCTTGGAGGCCTGGGAAGCCTCTAAAGAGCACCTATTGTAGCTATGACGATGAATCTAACGCTTTACTTCCTTCCCAGCATGCCCCAATTGTACGTCCCACTCTTTACCGTATTACCTTGCAGTGCCCTCCCACTGTGACTTGAGTGGACATTGCTCAGCCATAGGACTTGCTCTGGCCAATGGGATGAGAGCAGCAGTGCATCAGGCAGGGGCTTGATAAGGGCTTCTGTGGTTGGGCTTGCCTGCTTGCGCCTCAGCTACTGCCACAAGAACATGCCTAGCATAGCCTGCTGGTCCTGGGAGGAGGAGTTGGCAGAGCTGAGCTACCCCAGCCAAGACAACCCAGCTGACCCAGACTTGCAAGTTAATTAAATGCTGTTTGTTGTTTACCAGGGGGATTTTTCTGGCTGTTCTGTGTGCAGCACTCAGTTCCTTGCTCCAGCGGGGTCCATGGATGCCGGGTCTTTTCTGCCTTCACCGAAGCCCAGGAATACTAGAAGAGATGGTTGGGCCAAGCCTAGGATTCTGACCTTGGACCTGCTGAAGCCTCACCCTAGGCACCAGGAAAGCCCTTCTCCATATGGGGTCTCAGTTTTACCATCCATTTAATGAAACATCTGGCCCTGATTGCCAAGGCCCTCATAGGGACTAAGAGCTCAGGTTGTCCAAATATGACTATGTCCCTCCCTCACTTAAAACACTCAGTGGCTCTCCATTGCTCTCAGAGAGAAGTTGAAGCTCCCTAGACTGCATTCAAGGCTCTGCATGACTTTCCTCCTGTCCACATCTGCTGTACAGCTCCTACCACTCGCTCTTTGCTTCAGCCATGCCTTATTGACTCCAGTCTTCTCATCATGCTGTGCCCGTTCATGCCTCTGAGGCTTCGCACCTGCTATTCCCTCTGTTTGCAAAGCCTGCCACTGCATTTCTCTGTTTTGTGAATTCTTATGCATGGGATGTGGCTTGTTTTTAACTAACTTTCATTTCCTAACATTCATTGAGCTCTTACACTATGCCAGGCACCTTGCTAAGCCCTGTGTTCTAGTTTAGTCTTCCTGGCAACTCTATGAGGTAGGTATTATTATCATCTCTGTCTTCAATAAACAGAAAAGTAAACTGACTGATCCAAGGTTACACAGCTAGCAAGTGGTGAAGCCAGCATACAAATTCAGGCATCTACAACAGATTTGAACCTAGGTCTATCTGTTTCCAGAGCCTATGTCCTGTGGAGTCACCTCTCCATGATGCTTCTTGCAGAATTATCATGCAAGTGCAAGAACTATATTCATTCAACTAACAGAGATTTTCTTGAGTGCCAGGCACTATGCCAAGCTCTTCATGAGCAATGACTTCCTTAATCCCCATACCAACCCTAGGAGGCCATGATTCTTACCGATCCCATTTTGCAGATGAGAACAACTGAGGCCCAGAGAGGTAAAGGGACTGGAATAACGCCATGAAACCAGTAAGTGGTGAAGTTGGGACACATACCCAGGCAATCAGATAGATGCCCAGACCCAAACTCGACCTCTTGGCCACAGTGACTTTCAATTTACAATAAACTTCAAGATCCAGTTTGGGCACCAACTCCAGGATGCTGAACCGCTAATTCATGGCTCTGGGGAGCCAGGGGATTCATGGCTCTGGCCTGTCCAACCCCCCTCCCCACCCCCAAGGACTTCAGAGCTGACAACCCAAGATGCAGTATGGTTTGGACAGAAGTCAGATGCTTGACAACACTGTTGGCCATCCCCCATCTCCCCAGTTTTCAGCCCGATGCGCTGACCCCAGCCCCCACCCTTCCCCTTGGGCCTCAGTCTCTGAATCCAAACAAACACAAAAAGCCAAATGACTTTCACTCTGTCCCTTCCAGCTCAGTGATTTTGGAGGAGAATAAATACTGAAGCCACTGGCATGAATAGAAATTAATATAAAACTGTGCTAACTGCACAGGGATGTTTTTTAAAAAGAAAAAAAAATTCTCAATTTAAAATCTCTACATAAATAGACTCTTCTAAGGTCAAATGAAAGATAAATGCCTCAGGAAAGCAAGGAAGTCATCATTTAGACTGAATTTTTTTCTCTCTCTTTCATTTCCTCTCTCTCTCATTCTGTCCCCACCAATATTTCTTTCTATCCCTGTCTTTGCCTCTCTTATCTGCCACTCGCTCTTCCTGTCTGCATGTTTGTATGTGTCAATCTGTCACTTTTATTTCAGTGGCAGAATTGCAACTGCGGGTGAGTAGTATGACCTTGGTCAAGTCATTTCCCAGCATTGTGCTTCTGTTTTCCTATCTTACATAGGAAGTACAATTACTTTTTACAGAGTGGTATGAAGCATAGCAGGACCTCATAAAATAAGATTATGCTTCTAACCAGAGCTGGGCAGTCTCGCCCACCATCTAGGTTTGGGCCTGGAGGATGGAAAAGATTAGGAGCAGGCACCATCTGGTCACCAAGTGATGCCAATGAACCAATGGACTGAATGGCCTTCTGATCTTGGCCTCTTTACTATCCATCTAATTCAACCTAAAGTTGTCTTAAGAAAATGATTCTGGTTTGAAAAAAGGAGAAGCTGAGAAACATGTAAGGCCAGGGAAGTAGAAGGGATTTTAAAGGTGAGATAAGAGCCACCTTGAATGGGAAAACAACCATATGATGAATTTAAATCAAAGCCAGAGGGATTTGATTAGTAGAAGGAAGATCTCCTTGACAACTGAGGGGGAACAAAACACTGGGGAAAACCTACCAGAATGGGAGGCACTAGGCTGTGATCTTTTTAGGGCAGAGATCACATCTTTCTTGGTTACCATTATCTCCACAGGGCACAATAGAGGGTCTGGGTCCATAGGTATTAGTTGAGTGACTGACTTAATAAGTGAGGGTTTCTATTCCTGGAGCCCCCTAAGACAAGACTAGGTATCATTTCCCCCAGAACACAGAGCCATGCTCTCCAATGAGCAATACAATATTGCTCACCAATCATTGGATGAATGTTGAATATGTGAGTTTCCTAGCTGCAAGTATTGCGTGTGCAGTATTGCTGTTACTGCACATGCATCTCTTGAGGACTGAGTGGATATTGAAGGGGAGGGGGCATCTCCAGGGTGGAGCAGAAATTGGGGGGTGGGGGAGATTACCTGAATGACACTTTGTCAAGTAGCCTAGGAATTTCTACCTTGTTAGTTTGAAGTATTCTTCTACCTAGAGGCAGAGTATTGGACTGAAAAAATTCTGATAGCCCAAGTATCATCTCCTTCTGAGAGGGACTAAGCCAGTAGATAGAGGGGAGAGACCTAGGACAACAGAAAGACTGGAAGGAATAGCTTTTTGTCCTGGGAAAACCCTTGATTGGGAGTCAGAAGTCCTGGATTCTAAACTCAAATCAATGTAAAACAAGAACACCAGGAAGAGACCCCAGAGCCTTCTAACCAGCAGGGACTACTCTAGTCATATAGCACACACTGGATTTCCTGTGAGGTGGACTTGGAGATGGAGACTAGCATGTAGGGTGCTTATTAGGGCATACTCTTAGTGGCATTACCTGTGGATAAGAGGGAAGGAAGTGGGACTGAGCAAAAGGATAAGTAGAGGTGTGATACAAGCTCAACAGAGACCTTAACCATCCCTATAGATGGTTCTGAAGCTGGGATACCTCAGAGTTCTCCAGAGTTGGAGCAGACCTTTACATTGCCATATCAATCAATTATTGGATACAGGCTGCCACAGGAAGAGGTGTTTCCTTGAATGAAGCAACTCCCTTCAGCTGAGGCAACTCCTGTAGGGGACTGACAGCTGGTGGCCTCCTGCCAGTGACACTCCCAGTAGCTGGTGGACTAAACCCTTCTATTATGAAGGCAGATCTAGGTGTACATTGCAGTTCCCATCATAGCATGCTACTCCCATTAACACTAATCCTTATTGCAATCCTACAAGCTAGATATTATTATCACAGTCAAAAACTGAATTTTGGGGTATATGAACTTGCCCCAAGCCACACAACTGTTAAGTACTAGTTGTGGAGTTAATTCAAACCCATGTCTTCCTGACTCTCAATTCCTTCCTTCTTAAACTACACCTCATCCTTTGGTATCTTCACCCCTTCCCCCCTACCCAAATTCCACCTACTGCTCTCAAGATTTTGACAAATAACCCCCCTCCCTGAGGCTCAGACTCTCCATCTGTAAAAGAAGGAGATTAAATTATACCTGAGATTCTTAACCAGGGATCCATAAACCCCATGAAATAGCAGGCTAATTTTGGTATTTATGAGCAAAATTTTGAGTTTTAAGTATTTTTCTTGGTAAAAAGCCCATGAGAATGTTTACATCCTAAAAGGCTTATGACTTCCCAAAGAGGCTGAGATATAACCAGACCAGATGGTCTAAGGTCCTCTTCAGCACACACATGCTGTGATTCTGCACCCTTTAGAGCGGAAGGACCACAGACAGCACCAAAGCCATTCAGCACCACGGACAGAGCCACGCTCCGACGACTTCTGCAGAAAAGTCCCATCAACTACTACACTGACCCGAAGAATGAATGATGCAAGACCTCTGAGTGCCCAAAATCAGTGGGATAGGAAATCAGAATCTGCAACAGACACAGATGGCTTTTCCTCTCCCCCTGCCTTTTCTGTAAAAGAGTCCCAAATGTTGCAATTGTCCTCACAGTGACATTTCCCCCATCCTGGGGGCCTCCTGTCCCTCTCCCCACAACAGTGACGAAGAGGGTATCGAGCCGGGCAGTGGAGTACCCTGGTGACAGATTAGCACTGCCAACCACCGACACAAAACCATTTGGTGTGGGGAAATGATAGATGTTAACACTCATTTTAAACACAGGCAACTGAATTCCTGCAGACAGGCACCACGGCTGGAATTTAGGGCACAGCTGCTAGGTTCAGATAAGGTGCAGAATCAGCCCAGCATACCGCGATGTTACTTAATAATGAAAATGTGGTGATTGATGCTGCTGTCTCGAGAATATAACCTCCCCATTTGGAGGTTTTCAGCTCCCAAATCATCCATTCCACCGTTTTTTCCCCCCTTTCTTTCTTTTTTTGGAAAGGCAATGTGTGTGTGTGTGTGGTGGGGGTGCGAATAAAGGGTTGATGGGGCCTGGCAACATGAAGCTCATGATCCTAAAGAATTTTTTTTAAAAGTCCAAAGAGCTTAGTTTGAAAGAATTCAATTCTAGCAAGCTCACCTGGGACAGCAAGTTCAACATGAAAAACTGGTTTGGACAAGTTACCTTCCATATTTTTATGGTCGAAGGCTTCTTTTACCACCCTACTCCCCATTTCTATGATGTCACAAAGAGCCAATCAGAGTTTTTGATACAAGACCTCAACTCCAACCTCTTCCTGAGCTCCAGGAGAGATGGACCATTTATCT